TAATTTCAAAGGTACAATTTTTAAAGTTACGATATTTAAAAAGCAACTTAAGATGCTCTAACTCAAACCTATCTTTATCCGTACGTATACGAATAAAAAAAGTTGAAAGACTATCAAAATTCCCCATCAGCCTATGCTGTTGAAGGCCGAAGGAATCAGATATCTCATCTCAAACTGCAAGATAGTTTGTAAGAAATGAGCGTGTAACTGGCAAGTTACTCGAGATCATGCACGAATCTTTTACCTGGCCCAGGCAAATCTTTGCAACTCACTTAAAGCCCACACTGTCTTATAAGGTGTAACGAGCTACGAGTTAGTGTCTTGAATAGCATGCTTTAGATGATCTTCGCATATGTTGATTGCTACTGTCACATCATTGCCATAAGTGGATGTGGTTATGAAAAAATCACGCCCATGTCCAAACTTGTTTTATTGCCGTCGGTTATATGCTTATGAGTAAAATTTTTAGTTTTCTACCTCAAGTTTTTGGTCTCGCGAATGTTTTAACAGCAAACGGCAGATGGACGAACGGACTAACGCGATAAAATCAACTATTTTAGCCTAATTGAAGAATACAAGAAGAAAAATAATCGAATATTAAGATACATTTATCAGATGTTTCGGTGGCTCGATAAAAATGCTTTCAAAATTGGAAAAATCCGATTAGCTTCGAAATAATATGGAAAAACTTTTTTAACGAAATAGATGAAAAATTTTGGAAAAATAATTTTACTTTTCCAATATTTTCCATTTTAATCTGTATGCACCAATATCACTGTACTATGGGTTCAAGTAATAATAAAAGTTTTTGACTTGTTAGCTTTGCTTGGAAATTTGTCCACAAAATCTTTCGAATTGTTTACACCATCAAGGATATGAAACGTGCTAAACAATGTACGTGAATGAAAAACAAAAAATAATTAACAAAAGGCAAACATTAATTATCGTACCCAACCATGAAGCAAACAAATAAAGAGTTCGAGAGAAAAAGTTCAATTTTTAATTTATAAAATTCATTAACAATTGCTACCGCACCGTATGAAGGCATTTATTTGTATGCATAAATGCATGTGACACAAGGCACGCCAACGCTTACACCAAAATTGGACAAACATTAAATGATACTTAAACACAAGAATAATTATTACAGACTTGAGAAAAAAACTTGTTAAATGGGCGAGCGTGATATTCATAATTATGGCACCACATTACCTTTTACAAACAATTATCCGCATGGATCTGCGAAACGTTTTTCAATGTAAATACATTTTAATAATTTTTAAAGACATATTCACCTTAGGTGCCTAAACTAATATTTGGTATGTCGAGAGGGCGATTCAGACAACGCAAGCAAAGTTAACGTAAAGTTAAGGCATTTGCTTTGTTGTTTACGCATACGTCACCTAATAGTGTAGCACGGCGACGGCTAAAAAGAAGAAAAAGTTGTAGAAAAGGAAAGATATAGGGAAGCGGCCACAGCCAATCCAAAGAAGACTCTAACGCATTGAAATTTGAAGCCGCGAACATTGACTGATTAATCGCTGTTCTTAGCTACTCGCCTACTCTTACGGACATGACTCACTTAAGGTGTCAAGTCTAGTCAAGTTTCGCATCGATTTCTATCAGCGAAGGGAAATATTTGACACACATTACACCACTGAGGAAGGGTGTATTCTCCGTGAAATAAGCTTTAAGGCTTGAATTTCCGTCTCATAAATATCTTAGATAAGCGAATAGCACGACTATGGTCACTTTGCACACACCAGACTCTGAGGAAAGTTGACAAACGCAATTTGATAATCATGTACTGCAATCGACAATTTTTTTTAAGGTTATTGCATCGCTTTGGCGCATTGATTTTCTTTACCAATTTATCGAAATCTTAAGAGGACAGAAAGGATTAAAAGGAGATATCAAAAGCAATCTACATCTTCATTTTTACTCTTGATTGTGGAAACTTCTCTAATAGGCGTTACATTATTCTCAGTTCCTTTGAAAATTATATGCTTACGATTCGCTTGACGTTCGCCGTTTCCAAGCTGATCATTCAATTTAATATCATTACTTACATCCTGTAAAAACGTTTTCAAATTGTTCAAATTTTTTTACACATCAAGGTAATAGGTGCTAGTAGTACCATTATTTCACAGTTTCATAGTACCAACCTGACGGCAAAACACAAAGATTCTCGACAGTATTGCATCGTAGTGCGTTAGAGACGGTGCGGTATGTTATAAAACTGACAAAAGAATCAAATTTTGAGAGAGGCAACGAGAAGCGGTGGAACTTCCGAATACGTGCGCATATATTGAACTCATTTTATTCTTTATAGGTGATTTCATTTATTTAAATGAAGAAAAACAAGCAAACGTTCTTTATGGGAAAGTTTGGCAGAGACTCTTTAGGATATCTGATAAGTATTTCGGGATCTTATAAGCTGAATGGCAAGCTTTATGCTTGCTTACATATATAATAAAGCATTTCTCTCTAAACGATTCCCGTTGAATCGGTGTGATAGCCAATGTCTATAAAAAAGAGTCTCACACAGGAATGGGTTTGTCTTTCCATTTATCTCAAAATTCGTTTATCCGTTTACTTTTTGCAAAGGCTGCTGTATATATTCCCATGGACTTCTGATGATTTCTGTCGGTCAACCGAACAAAACCATCCATTATTTTACCACAATTTTAAATAACGTTGCTCGATTTCATTACCCACAAGATCAAATTTCAGTACCCAATGTCATGTCATATATTAGTTATTGAAAGATGAAAAAATATTGATTTAAAAAATAGAAATAGCGTTAGTTAATTTGCTTCGTAAATAGGATTGACGAGAGCGATTAGATAAATTTCTCAGCCACGGCATTATCATCTTTCAAATTGCGCAAAATCGAAGTGATTAAACTAATTTAACTCGAGTCTACAAACTCTTGGACTCAGTATACAGCGAGAATCTACGAAATCTGCTTTTATTTTGCTCTTCACTTATCCATATAAAACAATTGCAACAAGAACCTTATTGCATATACATCTGCCATCTTAGGCCTGCAATAACATTTAAGAAAGTTAATAGGTACCATCACCTCGCCTGTAGATAGATAAACATTTTTCTGTGTAAAGTTTTATAAAAGCAAAACAAAAAAAAAAAAGACAATGTTATCTTTAAGTTAAGCGAATCGGTTGTTGTCAAAAGGCGCAGATATATTCACTGCTTACATCCACGTACGCATGTATTAATAAAATTCATATAAATACTCTTGAGTAGTGGATACGAATATATATAATAATAAGAAAAAATAAGAAAGAAACAATGTAATGTGCAAGTTAAGCGAATCGGTTGTTGTTAAAACCTACATATATGTATCTATGTATATAGGTATATGCCGCGTATATCCCCACGTAGACATATATTAGTACATAAATTCAATGACAGTAATACTTTCTATAATATATATGCATATATAATGTGCCTATAATTGTTAATATTCCTGCATATGTATAAAAAGAAAAGGTTATCTGTTTAAGAGCTGATGTAGGAGGTAGTATACGCATATACATATGCATCCATACAATATCTTAAGAAAAAAATGGTTAGTTTTTATATAAAAAGAAAGCATGGATTCATATGTTTACAAAGAACTTACCTACATATAAACATATATATATATATATATATGTATACATCTAGATGTTCATACTGATGATAGCGATGATGACGACGAGAACACAGGTCAAACCTGAAAGACCAAAACAGGGTGAAATGAAAAAGTCACGTACGCCATAAAGAGAAAACAACAGTAAGAAAGCAAGCAAATAAATTGAAAGAGAGAGAGAGAGAGAGAGAGAGAGAGAGAGAGAGAGAGAGAGAGCAAAAGTGAGACAAGAAAAGAAAAACAAAACTGTAAAGAAACATAATATTCATATGCACATGTACGAGATATATCTTTAACATAAATAAAGAAATATAATAAACCAGAAATTTTGAGATCTAAGAAGATTATCAAAGACAAGAGAAAACAACCGAAACCAAGAGAGAAATCATATCCGACTTAGGTCGAATAGACTGATACCCACTACCTTTCCACTTCTATTCATTTGGTCTAAATAAATCCATATCGAAATCAAAGGAATTACTTCGTCATATAGTTAGTTATATGATAGCCCAACACTAAGGGAAAACTGTAACTAAATATACGCAATAGTACTCTTTAGTTCCAAAGATGTCTTATATCTATATGCATCACAACAGACCCGAAACATAGTACGCATATGCATATTTAATGCAAAAGAGCAAGACATTTAGTTAACATATACAGAAAGAATAGACTTAAGGACATAACAGATAGATGTTTAAAAAAACACTGCAACATAGCAACACAAAATAGATATAATAAAATGTAATTTGATTATTTAAGGACAAACGACCTGATAATCAGATATACATGATCAAGAATGTGATTGCTGACACAACCGTATGTATGATTTTTGACAAAAGTTAGATGTTTGAAAAGGCAGGCAGACTTGGGTCGACCGACTATCTTTGTATCGATCAGGTACTGTGCGACGCAAACATTTGACAAATCTAACTTACTTCCACTAGAAGATATAAAAAAAGCAGAAAGTGTCAGAGAATAGCTAACGAGAGCAAGAGGTGAGATACAAATGAGATGTTTGAAGCAATTCAAACTCAAATGTTTTGGCTTGGTTTGCTTGGTCTGCTGCTATGAAAATCCATTCATCTCAGTTGATGTGACAAAAGTTTTGGTCGAAGCTAAGAGAGAAGAGAGTAGATTTTTTCGAATGCTTTTTACACTCTTTACATAATTTATTCAAGTAATGTTGAAATTGTTATTGTACAATTTTGTTTACTCTTTTACTCTGAGAGAAAACATTATCTATTGATTTATATTTACTCTGAGAATTGCCTTTTTGCAGCTAACAAGTCGGGAATATTCGATGTTTTTTTAGTTATTGCATTCTCAAGTGAAAGGTGTTTTAAGCGGAGAAAATATAATAAAAATTATTAGTATAGATTAGAAATTATGAAGCATTTGTAATACATAGCAAAGGAGAAAAACTGAAAAACTGGCTTTTTTGATTGACAAGTACATGTATAATAAAAGACTCTGCGGAATATCAGAAATCGTACGTGACTAAGATAGAAAAAACTGCCATTTTTTTTTTTAAATATAATCTATGATTTTTTTTTTTAAAAGATCAATAAACAAGAAATAATTTTTTATACACATACAAGAAAACATTTATGTCCGAACTGTGATCAAATAGCATTTAAAAATTACTTCATTTGTTTTATATAAAGAAATTTTCTACAAAAGAAAAAAGTTTTTGTTTTTTTTTTTTTGATTGTGCAACAAAAAGTATCGCCAGACGAAATGGAAGTGTTATCTGTACAAAATCAATATACAGAACGTTTTAATGTTCTCAGTGGACCGACAAAATCAAAAGGCAAGTTTTAATAATAAACACTTCTTATTTTATTTTGTTTTATTTTATTTATTTATTTTTTTTTTTTTTTATATATGTATGTCGCATTTTCCTCCTCCACTACTTATTCTTAAAAACTGTATCAGAAATGTTTGAAAGAAGAATATTAAAAGAATATGAGTTGCTTTATTTTCAAAAGTTAAAACTTTTAAGACATTGTTCGAAAACAGGACACTCTTTTCTTGACAAGAATTGCAGCTTCAATCCAAATCCCGGTAAAGTGAAATTTTGGCCAAAGATTGAAATAAAATGTTAAAAGAATCTATGCCAATATAAAAAAAAAAAAAAAAAACTACAGTAAAAATGAGGCAACTAACTGTTCCTTTTCTTCATCCATTTGAATTATTTCACAATATTTGGTTCGTTGTTTTGTCTACAAATTTTTATTTAGGAAAAATATATAGAAGACACTTTTCAAATACCTTCGCAAATGTATTCTAAATAAAATGTAAAATACTCCTTAATCTAAGCATTTTAGCAGCTCTCGTTCGGTTATCATTATATGTCAAAGCAAACATTCAAGTCAATAAGTTACAATCAATTTGAACGATTGTGCCGGGTGAGCAATTAAAATTTTTTATTCATTCGCTTTTTTTTATTTTTTTTTAAGAATTACGAAATCAATTATTTGCAAATATTTCACTTGATAAACCTCGATTACTACCTCAACGTAGACACTCGTATGCAAATGGTAAACGTAATCGACAGTAGTTGAACTCTAAAAAATGTAATTAAAGTAAGTAAAAGTGTATATATTTTGGGACTTTACCTTTAACTATGATAAAGAAGAAAGAAAAATTGAGTTCGCTAAGTTGCTCCTCGATAATATTGAGCAATAGTATACATGCATACCACTGATCCGTTTATTTGTTATTGCAGTTTTCAAGGGCCTAAAAAACTTAATGTGAAGCACTGAAACTTCACTAATTCATTTCTGATTAAATTTAGCCGATCAAGAATAGGGGAAAAAACAAAAGAGAGAAAGTATTGAGTGATTTCGACATTATTTCCGTAACTAATTTTTACCATATTATAGTAGATGTCCTTGTGCCTACCATCAGGATTATGTTAAAGTCTTATAATTATTATTATCTTATATTATATTGTTAAACATAACTAGTGTACATTACTTTTAAAATACTATACACTTTTCAAAAGAATATTCGCTAGCGATATATAATTTTTTTACTAAGCAGTAATACAATAATAATAATATTTTAAAGCAATCGTTGTATATATTAGTATTCGGCCTAATAAAAAGGTACTACTGATCCTTACAAAAAGGGTTCCGCGATCCCTTATTGGTTCATATCAAATTATCGATATTTTTTTAGGAAGGAACACGAATGCCATAACCACTTTGGGTAGGCAAATTAACTAAGCCTACTTCCTTGCACGCATGAAAAAAAAACCTAAAAAAGCTAAGCCGTCAGTCGAAAAAAACTGATTTCCATGAATAGCGTAAATCGTGCTTACGAGAAAATTCTACAACAATGAAATAAGAAAGAACGAAATAAAACTTTCATGTTGCTAACCATTTCTTCTGTCTGCTCTTGCCTTAAAAAAAGTCTTAAATGATGCAATAATTAACCATATTGTTATAGAAGATTAATATTAAGGAAATCAAACAATTTAACAAAATACATGGAAAGATTGATAAATATTATTTTAAATATATGCAAACAAACAAAAACACTGTAGTGGAACACGGCACATTATTAAATACCCTACACCACTTCGGTTAACACAGGCGTCCCATATGACGCTTTACTTTGCAAACTCATCATTGAAAGAAGTGATGAAAAAATTTCCAATACCATTCGTCCTTGAGCCAAAACATATCGATGTAGCAAATTTCGTCAAAATATCTCAAAAAATGCGACCTGTAGGTTGAACAAATACAAAAAAATAAAAACGCGACGGATAGACAGACCGACAAGCTTAAATCGATTCAGAAAGGGATTCCGAATCGACCGGTATAGTGATGTATGCATCCGCATAGTTGTATAATCGTTAACATACCGCAAGTGGTGAATGATACGATAATGTGCAACAATACACTTAGGATAGTTGTATAAAGTCTTAGACTCTAGATGGAAAGCCGGAATGCAATTATCGTTCGTGAACGACTTCTCAAGAAAAGTGAAGAATCGACTTATATTCATTACAAGATTGCAAGATAATTTGATAGTATTTTACGAATGTGGATTGTATATTAGTAATTATTGTTATGTTCAGGGAAATATGTTTAGTTCAAAAAAACATTTTCAACATTTTATTAATAAATGTTTACTAACATATCATTTTATTCCGAGAAATTTAATTTTGTTTGTTCAAGAGTTCATTCTAAAAAAACACGCGCGCGTGTGCGTGTGTATGTATTCTCGACATTAATGGGTTTTTTAGACTGTTTACATGTTATTTCAGGTCAAGGGTCTGGCATAATAACTCAATGTATTGAAGCAGACATTCAGGTGTGTTTGTCAAAACACAAAAACATGTTTAAAAGAAAATTATACCAATGCCATGGCTTTATGTAACAATTCTCTGCTTTGTAGTTGGCTGATGAAATTTTCATATATCTCTTATCATTGCTTTCAATTTTGACCTTATCCCCATACCTATATATACGTGCATAAGGATAATAATAACAAGTAGGAAAATAATATTCGGTCATGAGGAGCAAAACAAAAAAGGGTAAAAGTTACATTCTCATACTGTATAATATCGAGTAGGCGTGACTGATCTTTCCTACATTCAGAATAAAAAGAGAATTTTATATGGTGGAAGCGTTGTAGTGGTTTATGAGTCATGAGCAAAAAAACACACAAAGCAAAGGTGCTCATAGTTTTGCTTGCGTAAGAGTGTGGGCGCTGTAGGCGTGTCCTTCGATCCGTTTAGGTCATTTTCACTTTATCTTGCAAACTTGTAGGCGATATTTTAACTTTTGCAAACGGGGGAAAATCTGCCGCAGATACTACGAAGTTGGGTAGATGGACCAACGGACATGCTTAGGTTTAACTCGAATTTGAAACTTTCTAAGATATTATATATATTTAATGGGATTTTTGAAGCAAAAAAAAAAAAAAAAAAAAAGTTAAATTCTTATTTATATACCAGAATATTGGGAAGACCTGGTCAATTTTTCCAATTTTTGCACAGGTACTACAGCATCGCCCGGGGAATGTACCTTCAAATTATTGTAGATTTGTCTTTTATAGTTTATAAACAATGAGCAAACAACCAATTTTGTTATTCCTTAATTTACTGTTAGTGTAGGCATGTCCTCTCACCGATTTGGCCCGTCTTTAATACGAACCTGTGCCGAAGAACTTCCAATGTTGCTGCCAAATTTGAAGTCGATAGTTGCATCTTTGCGATCAGGAGAATGCTTATACCAGACATTACACAGACGGACAGACGGACAAGCTTCAATCAATGCAGAATTTGATGCTTAATCAGCAGTCTATATACTTTATTGGGTCTCTGAACATTCATTCTGGGCCTGGGTTTTGCAAACATTAGTTGGGTATAAAAATTGATTTGAATTGAGCTGCTCTCGGACAAATGTGTGTGTATATCATTTGTATTTTTTTTTTTTTTTTTTCGAAACACGTGAGTAAGTATAATAAATAAGCAAATGGTAAAACAAAGAAAATGCAAAAATTTCATCATTCTCTATTTGAGGAGAATTGTATCCAAACGATGTTTATCTTATTTAAAGGCTGATGAAATTTTAATGTAGACTTGCACAATTGATAAAATTTATAATAAACAACACATTAATAATAATAACGATAATAATAATAATAATAATAATAATAATAACAATAATAAAATAATGATTCTATAATAAATATACACGAGCGACGGAAATAAAATAAAAACTTTGCGCATATTAATATCGTTTCGATTATTTTTAAAACCTTTACACATGTACGAGTGTATGTTTGAAATTTGCTTTGTCGTTTCGTAAGGTATACAATAAATTAAATTTATTTTACATTAGTTTATTATTATCATTAATTAAAATAAACGCATAAACACATTCTTATACATACGTGTATAGGCACTTTAAATAGACATTTCATTTTTTATATTATTGTTCTTTCTTTTTTATATGCATATTTTTAGATTGGTCAACGACGCTGGCGGCCACAACCACAAACGATAAACATCAAACCCCTTCAAATAGTGATAATGATCGTCCGAGTTTGACGGCTGACGAAGAACTCTTCTACTGTGATAATGTCGAGTATGCTGCTGTGAATAGTTTGTCGCTACGTTTGCTTGATGAGTTGCGCGCAGCTAAATCTCGTAATTTGTCTTGCACGGAAGTGTCAATACCCTGTGACCTTACCGCACGTATCGCATCGGATATGATACGCATTTCAGAGCGCGAGCCTTGCGGCATACGAGGTTGCACGGTGTACATTGAATTTGCAGAAGAACCGCACAATTCCAGGCGTATAGGTACACTGAAAATCGATCCGGATATGGTATCCACTTTTGAGTTGTATTTAACGTTGCATCAAGACAAACGCGGATGGACTTCGCTGCTGCCACAATTTATGAAAAATCTTTCACGTAGCGTCACCATTAGTCCCGAATTCGGTTTAACAAAACATAAATTGTATTCGCCTAATGAAAGCAGTTAATGTGTCATTCAGTTTATTGTTGTGTGCACGTCTTCTGCTCTTGTCTTTATTGCTATCGCGATTGCTGTTGTCAAAACCACCCACCTACCTTAAGGCATATTCATTATCATTAACCGCTCACATGCTCATTTAAAGTTTAAAAGAAAAAAAAAAAAAAAAAAAAAAACCGACAACAATGCAAACACAAAAGAAAACAAAAAACCATTTACTTCATTTCACTTGATAAACTTAACGCTTTTGTACACAAAGCAAAGCAAATCCCCCTTGAAAAGTATATTAACAAAAATCTCATTATGAATTGTTTTCATCAGCATAACAATTTGTAGAAAGTAAGCTTCATTTTTACCTTTTTTTTTTTTTTTTTTATAGCTATAAGTTTTGTTTGTGTTTTTTGATTTGAAAGGAACGTAAATTGTGAAAATTATGGTTAGATGCTTGCAATATGGCGGCGAATTCTCATTTAAAAGAATTCGTTACGCTTACCATCTACCGTAACTCATTCAAATGTGATACTGATTAAGAAGTAATTATAATTCCTGTATATATAAAAATATAATAAAATAGAAAGAAAACAAAATAAATAAATAAAATAAATAAATAAACAAATTAAACAATACTTAGAAATAGCATTTCATACTGAATACATATAAATGGGATGATGCTATTAACCGGCTCAAAGCATCCCACAACGCCTTTAAATTCCAAATGAATTAGTAGAGGAAAGCCCCGACTTTGTTCCTAAGTTTTCGAAAAAAATTAAAAATTTACTTAACTTTGTATATAAATAAAATTAATTTTTTACAAAACAACATACGCTCCAGTTGTAGTCTATAAGATAATCATGCGAATATCAAAATTCCCCAAATTTTTATATATCGATATAATTTTTCCTAAATCTAAATGTTCGTTCATGTAGTGACTGTACTAACACATACTTAAGCAAAAAAAAAAAAATAAGAAAAAAGAAAATGTTTTTTTAACCACAAATATAAAACGTTAATTAACAATATGAATAATTAAATAAATTAGAAAAAAAAAATAAAATACATTTTGGTTTTTTGCCTTTTTTTTGTTTTTAATTTACATTGTTACCAAAATACAAGGAGGATATCATCAATATAGACAATCCAAATTCTGCCGTTCAATTAAAACAAAAAAAAAAAAGGAAAAGAAATTCGTTCCCTCTTCGAAAAGTGACTTTGTGGGTATTGAGAAAGTGAATGGCCAAAATTCGTCAAGGATGTGAACAGAAATTCGAATTTGACTAGCAAAGATACCTACCTGCCTACTAACTACCTTAACAGAGACCTGAACTCTGATTGAACTTGGAAGCCTAGTCCGTTCAAAAACACCTTTCGAACAAGCTAAAACAAATTCAAATTTCGCTTCTTCGAGCTACTTTTAAGAATTTCTTCAAATTTGTTATGTTAACGTCGGTTGCGACTATGAGAAAGTGATCAAATCCGAGACTCTGATGCGGCTAAACGAAAAAATGCCAACAATATGCGCCTACGTCACGCGAATCAAAAATCGCTGTGACAAATAAATGTACGGCTCATCATTAACAGAAGAAAAAACGATTTCGAATCTATTACGAAGAAAATTACATTCGTTTTTTTTGACTTAACGCTGATAGGTCACGTGGTGTTTCGCTAATATGTGGTTTTCACAAATTTGGTAAAAATACTTCCGGAAAGCCGTATTTTTATATAGATTCGAGAGGTGAATACAAGAATATTTTGCGTTACCTAATTGAGACGGAGCAGGGTTCTAAGTCGAACCATATCGTAATTCTCGTCACTTAACAGAGCCCTGTTAATGTGGTTAGTTGATCGGAGTTTTTGCTAATAAATTCGCATTTATTTGTCACTCGCTACGATTTATCTTATGTTTATTATTTGTACACGTACATGGACCATGAATATCCATTTCGCCAGCATATTAATCGAATCAAAAAATCAAGAACAGGTTTCGCTCACTTACTGTACGCAAGCTTATGATTATTTAAAGGGAAGTTCCTGCATTCATATGAAATCGTGATTATAAGGATACGAGCAATATTTTCTATAAGCGCTTTTAAATGTTATTTCAGCTGAGTTATACGCGTGTAAGTGCATGCGTATTTACAAACATATCATGCCCAGTAACGTGTTAGATGCTGCTTGACTGTTTTATATGTCATTTAAGTTTGAAGTGAAATTATTTGTTATACTTGAAATTGCTTCGGCTGCCAGACTCATTGCTCCCTTTATGAATGATCATCATTATTAAGAAATGTTATCATTATTAACATTAGATACTCGACAAATAACATATAAACATATAAACACTTCTAAGTATGGAAGCGATTAGTTTTCACTTATTAGATAAATAATAGTTTTGTAACCATAATTCACTGAGTGTTCAGGTTACACAACAAGAGACAAGACAACAAATGTTTTCAAACATAGCTACTAATGCTTTTATAGTTATGTACGCATTTTTTTTTTTATAGTAAAACTAGTTAAGACGCGTACAATCAGTCAAGGACGGTCTTCAAATACCGTACACAACTGGATTTATTTTCGCCATCAAATGCAGACTATTACAGTATTAAAGCTTCTTTTCGATAAGAAGTCGCACGGCTCCAAAAAATAATTTAATATAATGGAAGTTTAGTGTCAAGTCGCTATTCTGCGCTCGGTTTCATCATAAGATATAATACAAAATTTTACAATTTTTTGTCACATAAAGCTTAATGAGAGAGCGAGAGAGACAGAAGGAGAGAGTTCAAAAGACGACCTCTTTCGATCCAAAATGTCACCATGTCAATGTAATATATTCCATCAATTTTTAATCAAGAAATATTAGATGTGGAAAACGACTTCTTTCTAAACAACGCTTTCTCTCGGTGAGAGGTCGTACATACATTTGGATCCAATTAATTTTTAATAGTGCCCATTGTTGCACTAGAGTATGTCCCTGTATCAGACATCAGCGAAATATTTCGAAAATCATCTCAAAAAAGTTTTATAAATCGATTGATATAATAAGAGGTGCATCTCGCCCAAATTGTTCTGAGTTTTGCATGAGAGTGCATAAATAATTAAGAACGAAAAACAAAACTCAAGTAAAAGCATTATAGACAGGATAAGTTCAAGGCCGAATATTAAATACGCTACATTACTTCGCCTTATGAAATTCTTCACCTATTTTCGCGGCAAATATTAAAAGTTTTTTGCCAACCTGTTACTATGAATTGATTTTTAAGCTTCCAATGCGATCTAATTTTCGTAAGTTTTATTTGTTTGTCAATTTACTATTACCAGCCAATTATTCCCATGAAATATTGAAACTTAGACCATTATACTGAATAAAAAAGATTCAATTTTCGTAGGAATGGTTAGATGCGATAACGTTAAAGCAAATCGTTTATATCGATCCAAACCTTATTATAGAGCGAGTTTTATCAACAAATTTTGAAAATTGCAATTTATTTGCATATAAGGACCTTTCAAAACAAGGCGTTATACGGACGGTGGTCGAGAAAGTGGGAAAGCATTCATCTTCGTGTACCGTATTTCATCAAAATTTCTCCAAAAATTGCGATATATAGGTTCACCGTAAACATACATGGATAGATATCAGACGGACAGGCGGACAGATAAGCTTCGATCAATTTAAAAATTGATTCTGAATATTGGTATAATAAAAGGAGCATGACAAGTGATCAATAATGCTGAGAATAAGAGAACGAGGATGTTGGAAAAAAGTCAATCACACTTTTTTGCTCATTGTTCAACGAATGATAAATAACAGAAGACAAAGTGAAGTGTTACTCGAATTTTTACAAATCTTTCTTTCGGCAGAAGTATTTAAATTTTAATTAACAAATTAAATTACTTGGTAGAGGTTAGCAGAAATATAAACATTAAGTTCTACTAATTATTTAATTATATTCAGAGTTATTAACTTTATTAGTTAAAGAAATTTAAAAATGAAGGGAAATTGGATAAAACATTTTTCAAAAGAAAAAAAAAAAACATATCATAAAAAAAATTCCAAGATCTTAATGTTTGCAAACATGCAATCTTCTTCGGTTTCTAAGATTTTCTCTTTTAAGTCGATCATATTGAAAAACATAAGGACACTAATTAGGACAAAAAAACATTGCCAACAATAAATAAGAAAAACATGGGAAGATTCCTTTTAATGTTCATATTAACAGAATTCTGTTATAATTTGTTTACGTTAGCGATTTTTCCGATCGAAATTCTCTCGTCTTTTACACTGTCAGTTGCTCATGTATGCTTACTCTGTCAAGTCAAAGTAACTTCAAGGCATTAGATGCGTCTACTGATTCTTTCTGTAAATACATATGCATTGAATGACTGACTGCTGGTGTCCTGACGTTTATCTATTTATTAGAGGAGGAATTAGACGAGGAATCTCGACTAGCAAGTCAATGGTCGTGGGTTCGAATCTCAAGTGCGGTAGAGTTTTTAATAAAAGCCGATAGATAGCCTTAGATGCTAGTGCTTTCAAGAGTTTAATCTTAGAATTTACTTCTCTGGCGAAATTAATAATAATAATAATAATAATATTTATTATTTCTTTAATTATGTTTATTATATTTTCTTTATTATTTTTATGTTTTTTCAACTCTATAGTTATACATATTGTATTATATTTAATTTATATTGAACTAATGTTCTGAATTTAATGCTTAATTTTAGCTTATAATTTATTTGTAGTTAATATTTGTTAATTGTTAAATAATATATAAATAAATAAATATTTACAGTAAATTTTTCAGCAAGAGTTGTTGCAGTGTTGTTGTTGTTGCTGCTGGTTCCTGTTGCCTGCTTAATAAATTTTAGTTTTTTTTCTTTATTTTTTAGTCTTTTCTCTTTAGTCTTTAATCTTTTAGTCTTAAGTTTAGCTGTATCCTAGTAATGTAGATAACTAACTGTATGTTAAATAAATAAATAAATAAAAATTTTCGAAAGAATATTACCTATGAGAATAGATACTTTTAGAATTCATTTCACAGTTAACTGTTACTGTGAAATGTTACCTTCTAAGCTATGCCAATTTGTACTCGCTACTCTCACAAGTTAGAGAAATATATTACTAAGAGAGCGGTCGCGAACGAGTGTGGAACGAATTATTGTTTATGCTTTCATTA